CAACATCACTCGATAACTAGTCCTCTTCTAATACACGCCTACGACGTTTTTCTTAGCTGTCTCTAATTGATCAAAATTCTGCTAAAATTTTGGGAATTGTGGCATTTTAAAAAAACACACGTGAATTAGCCTTAACTCTGAAGAATTGTCGCACGTCTGACGTATTCCGCCATTTTATGCCCAGTGTAATGCGCTCTGGGCGTAAAATGGCGAAATATGTCTGCACTCTTGTGTACATTTAAAAGATTGATTCTTGCTGGCAACAGTAGAATTGACTTGCTCTTTCACATGAAGTATAGAATGCCCGCACAAAGTTTTCAGTTCAAGAAAAGAACGTACTCAAAGTTGACCGATGAGATACCTGTTAAAAATTTGGGTCCAGACGGAAATCGTGTTCCATATGACTTTTTGAAGTGGCTTGGAAACTTTTATATTTCTCATCAAATACTATATAAGTCGCCAGATGAGATCTTGGTGGCTTAAACGTCATGTAATACTGAGGGCCCCTGCGTGGGAGTGCTCCATACCAATAGCATCGTGTATATCGGATAGGATCAGCACTAGTTATCGAGTGATGTTGCGATACTTCGTCTTATAAAGATCTATCATCATACAGCTATCTATCCGTTAAATCGTACGATGGCAAAATTTCCATCTCTAGCATATTACGATAAGCCTATCGAATATATCTGGATCGGATAATGTGGCGGTTCTGATACACTATTTAATTTTGATTTACCATTTTGTTTTCACGACTAAAACTGATATTTTGAGACAATGCTATATAATACTCAAAACAATTCCAAATATTTTCAACTATATAAGGGAATAGCTCTAAGCGACTATAATTGCAGCTGTTTTACAAAACAGCTGCAATTATAATCGCTTATTGTCAAAAATCATTGCCTTTATACTCAAAAAACGTAGAATAGCTCTATCTTTGAACTACATAATCTCAATGCTTTGTTTGCTTGACTCTTCGTTATTCTGTAGCGATGTGACTTAATCTGAAGTCTGTGTCTATCAAATAATGAAAATAATACTATTGTAAGTAGTACGATGAGGATGATGAAATAGATAGTGTCAGTATTAAATCATTGAGACGGAGTTTTATATTCCGGAAAAAAGTACATATACATATTTTTTTCTTTCTTTTTTTTTGTTTAAATTAAATTGTTTGAGTGTCTAAACAAAAAAATTGGTAAATTAGATAATGTTGTCAAATCTGAAAAATATGTTTATATGCGGATTCGAAATGGAGAACTATCTATGAATCTATATTTTATTTTATTTGTTATGCCTATACAAGCATAAAATGCGAATATTTGCTGATAGAAAATTGTTTTTCTATATAAAATATTTTTCACAGTCTTTTGCATATCTCATCATGTTTAATACAAATTTTATTTTTGTCACGATACTGAGAGAGCAGGTTTTTTTTTTGATTAAACCTGTGCGTATTTGATGTGTTAAAACATTTCGGCAAGAGTTCAAAACAGTTTATTAACACTATAACACATTTCTATCTGAGTAAGATAAGCCTAAAAAAAGTAGCAGAGAATATTTAGAAAAAGTATCGCGTAATTTATGTCATTGGGGAAATATCGGCCGACGTACATTCACCTTGAAACATGAACAATCGATAACATTCTATTCTAATCAATAATAAACTAGGTTACTTATTTAGAGTATACAATTTCACACGATTCAAATTTTATCTCGTTGAGATTAGAATAATCAATTCTAAAAAATAGTGATGCATACAAGATGCATCTGTCATACTTTTCATAGTAATGACAGGAATAAGTACATCAATTTTCTTGATGAAAAAAGAAAGATGCACTAACACATTATCGTCATTATTAACGATTATTGAACAATTTAGGAAATAAATCTAATTTGATCTTGTCATTATGTAGGTCATAGCTATTAGAAAAATTAAATTTAAATTATTCTCACATTCGAAATATTGTTAGTTTTTTATTTAACAACAACAGTTATTCTTTTTTCTTTTTTTTTTTCTCTTCTTTCTGCTTTGTTCTGCTAAAATTATCACAGACAAGAGATTTCATATACAGTGATCGAGCGTGTTTTCCTGTGCATTTTTCTATTTACAAAGTTATTACAATCAAAAAAAAAATTACATTGACACTAGAGAGAAGCGCTTTTTTCAATATATTTTACATGCACTTTGGTTTCAGATTGGTACTAGACGTTTTTGAATAAAAAATAAAAATCTTTAGATTATCAAATATTTTTTGATGGATGATAAATCAGATTAGATTTGGATTTGAAATGAATGGAAAAATTGAAATTTATTATTATTATATTTACATTTTTATTATACAGTTTAAATGCAAATCATTTTCCCATTAATTTGGGTGGGTTATTTACAATTAATCAGTTATCATTCTATAATCAATATTGGCCATCGATTAAAATGGCACTTAATCATATTAATTCAGCAATCATTACACAAAATATTACATTAATTCTTAATGAAACTGAAGGAATCACTCAAGTAAGTGAAGAAAAGATTGATGATTAAATTAATAATATCGAAAAACTTTTTGTCTGAAAAATAACAATTCATTTGCAGCGAAAAAACAGCTTTTTTTCTAAGAGTTACATTTCAAAAATCAACTAAACCTGTTACAGTTCACGATGTCTATTCTTCAAACGGGAACGCCTTCTTCGTTCTCGTTTATTGAACGGGAATTAAAAGAAATAGTTCTCGTTGCTGAACTAAGAATGGTCCAACAGTTCATGTTCATAGGAGCGAGAATTGACTTACCAGCTCTAATTTCTTCAAACAGAAACTA